ACAGCTAACGTTAAACGGAAATTCATTAAACCATCCGTTACAACTGTTACATCTCACGTTGTCAAAACGAGTCTTTTTAAGGTATTCTTGCAGATCAGTTCTCTCTGATGTTGAGCGTCACGCGTTTACTAGTCATTGCCTCACGATGAATTTCCATCTCAGGCCAAGGTCCTTGGCTTATCAACAAGCCTTTGGCGCGTAAAATTTTCAGGAGAAACATGATGGACCAAACACGTGACTATAACTCTGAGCACGCATTCTCAATAGCGCCAGGCTTTTGGATGACCAATCATTTCGTGTCAAATTGAGAGACGTCGAACCTTCTTTCTCATAAAGAGGGCTCTTAGATGGCGAAAGTGGCCGTGCAAAGCCTGGACTCCAAGGGGGAGTAGGCGCCGGACCCGCACCACAGCAAAGGCTCCCGGGCGGACAAGATCGGCAGGGGGAGCGGACTGGGCGCGAGGAAGGGCTATGACTTTCGAGGATATTCTTAGAGCCTGGTAAAGAGCTGACTGGGCAGGTCATGGGAGGGACTGGAAAGTAAAGATGAGAAGCTGGAGAGTAGAGTCCTTCATGTGGATAATAAATGCCTGAGTGGTACGGGAACGACGTCCGAGGGTGTTGGCGTTCTTGTTTTCGATGTTTCGCCCGCCGATTTTGAAACCAGACCTGAAAAAAAAATTATTTCAATAAGATCGTTACTTGCTTTTAAGAAGTACTCACATTTATCGCTAAATTTATCTCTACTGTCTCCCGCGCGCGGTAACTCGCCAGCAAAACGCGATGATGCATGCACTAGGATCGCGCTGACTCCAGTCGAACATTGAAAAGGAAAAATATATTTTTTGAATCAGTGAGCATTGCGTAAATAGATATTTTACTACGTGGACAGTAGTGAAACGGAAGCTTAAGATAGTTTAGAAGGAGAACAATAGGAACATAGTGACAATAAAATACAGAACTGAAAGCCAAATTAGAATATGGCCTAAGGGATAGTAAAATAAGTGAAGCATGCACCTTACAAAGGACACGACGCAATCATCAACAGACACGTGTATTTACAATGGCGTCGAAATAATCGTGAATCGTAGGGAGATTAATTTTGTCTCCAAACTTTTATACAGCAGATCCAATTTCTTCACTGAAAAGAAAATTGCTAAAAAGAATTACGGTTTTTATTTTAAAAGGCACAAATATAGCCCCATTCTTTTAGTTGTTAGTATGAATTTCCGGAAGAGAAAACAATCGGACAGGTTTTTTTTACTCTTTACAAATGAAAAGAAGAAAAGAAGATTTCAGGGATTAATTTCGAAATATTACAACGGAATTTTGCAGGTATATGAACACTTGAAAACCAAAATTAACGAAGCGCGAAAATCTTGCAGCCATTTATGATCCATTGTCGTTAAAACGAGAGCAATGAAACTGGGTTTGAAACTTCCTGTGTTACTTTTAATTTGCAATCTTCAGTAATTTCTAAGCACCGTCTTTGTTAATTAGGGCAAGGTGTCTCAGCATGTCAAAGTACATGATGTTACAGCACAAAGAGAAAGGCTTTAGAAACTCTCATGTGTATGTACTACTGTTCGAAAAACTAAAAAAAAAAACCAAAAACGAATCTGTCCGCGAGCGAAAACTGTTTGATCGCCCCTTCAGCCATATACTTTTCAAGCGAGAAAACCCAATTGTAACACGTGGCACGCGTAAAGCTCAGTGAGTTCTTTCCCGTGCCAATAAATAGCGTATCATTTCAAAAACTCACAGCTCGCAAATATATCAACCTCATCTTTTATTTCAACTTTTGTGCGGAGTGGTAAATTGTTTGTCAAAACACGACAACACAGCCTGCATTTGAATAATAGATGTTTAGGAAAACTCAACCCAGCTTATTAACTGCCTACTCGACTAATGAAAGAACTCTATTCTCCCGCCGAGATGATATTCAACAGGCAATACGAAACTTATTTACCTGAAATATTAATAACACGTGCCATACGGTAAATTGTATCAAAAGAGCTAATGAGCTATCTGTTACACAGCTTATTCTAGGGCAAAACTTCCTATCAATAATGATCAATTATCACAATAAAGTACAAAATCGTCCAGAAATTGACAGAGCTCCGCTGTATTTTTCCATTTTACAATCAGAAACGTTGCCATTTATACCTCCATGTATTTTGCTTGCGTAAAACGTAAAAATTTCCGTCCTGGTTTCAGCACAAACGTATAGGAAACGTAATGTAAGACAACTCATTGAAATTTAAGAGGTGTGTCTCTAAAAAGAATTGATTAGACCAAGCTATTTAAAATTCTATTTGGAAAAGGAATATTTAGTTAAATTTTGAATTAGCCCTGTTGGTATAACGGTTCTCTGGGTCTGAACGTGTTGTTCTTATTTGAAAAATAAACAATAGATTAGTAAATTCATAATCATAGCTGGCTCAGTTTCTTTCGACATCACGAAAGCAGGTTTGCGGTAAATGAAGCGTTGCAAATTTGGCAAATTTACACATGGAGAAGTCCCAAATTCGCTTTCATAAATCTCTTCATTTCTCTGTTTCTGGTCGGGACTTAGTGAATATTTTTCACACAAGGAATTCTCTTTAATTCGCCGTTACACTAATATCCAAAAATCTCAAACGGTTTCTTAAGACTTAAGAAGTGGCTAAACGAAGCGTACACGTACGCTCATTGGAATTAGGCGGCCGTGTGTAAGAGATTGGCTTTTCTTCGCCGCTCTTGAAATTAATCAGTTATCTGAGGCTTCTATCAACAACTGCGACGAAGTTAAATTCGTTATCTTGTTTCAATTTGACCAAATGCTTGTTCTGCTTAAAAATTTACGAAATAGTGCGGGTTCGCTTTGAGATTGGACAAAAGAGTCATTCAAGTGGGTAATTTCGGAAAAACTAATTCTCTGCGATTCGAGATTCACCAACAATTTGTGTAACCGCTTAACTAGCAAGTACGAAAAAAATTATCTTCAATTATTTTATTCACGTTTTTCGGCCAAAGGTTAGTGCCAAATTTTTTTAAATGTTTATTTTAACTGCTTAGCAGGTTGAGTTCTGTCAAGCCCTTCACACCTATCGGACAATACTTGTTTTTCAAGTGCTTACTGTTTATTAATGACATCCAAAGATGAATGAATTTAAAAAGCCACTTATGGTTTTTTTAAACTCTATTTACTAAGATATTCGATCAAGCCATAGACCTCAGCCTAAACCTCAGAATTATAACATGTTGCAACAATGAATCCGGTATAGAATTCGCCAGAAGAAGTTTGACGCGAGCAAAAACGCAGCCGTGTTCTTTCCCAGCGAATTTGCCCGATAATTCAATTTCCACTTCGCCCAGACCTCCGATATAATAATTTGCTAATGGCAAACTTAAGAAATTTTAAAAAGTGTCATTTGCGTCTAAATACGCTTTCACAAAACAAATGCCGCCTTATTCATATTGATACAAAAGGTACTCCTTGAATAATAGATGCGCGAAATTCTTCAACTTAGGTAAACAGAAACCTTGACAATTTGCCCTGTTCTAGAGAAAACCATTGTATTCTCCAGACGGACTAGATAAGACGCCTACACTTTGGACTTGAAAAGTGGAAACATTTTTCTTCCCTGACCACAATAATTTCTGCGTTCAATTTTAAGGCCTCTTGAGTCAGATCGATGCGGTAAGTTTACTTTCCGTAATAACTTCCAACAGCTGCTAATTAAACTGTCTGTTCACACCATATACACACGTGCGCCGCAAAGCAGGTGGAAGCTTTACTGCGCTTGCGTGGTATCGTCATAAGCTAATTTAAGCTTTACAGATTAACACTTAACATTTCTCTCAACAGAAATTCTCCTTAAAGCGACGCGCCCATCAGGGTCAATCACCAAAAAGTGCGCGCTTTTGAAATAAGTTTAATCCCAGCGCTGTTAATTCCAATTCTCTTTTTTCCTCGAACGTGCAGGTAGCCCAAGATGTTTTTGTGTCCTTTTAATTGAAAGTAATAACAAAAACAAAGATAGCTATTGATTCGATTAGCCTTGGCCGCCCATGAGCGCAGGCCTAGAAGACAAGAAATAGAGAGAGAGAGAGAGAGAGAGAGAGACAAGAGACAATTTGTGGTTCTTTCAAGTTTCGTACCTGTACTCGGGCCTCGTTCAAGTTGATTCCCTTTGCAAGCTGTTCCCTCGTGAATACATCAGGATACTGGGAGCGGTTAAATGCTTCTTCCAAAGCATCAAGTTGAGCCTGCGTAAATGTCGTTCTGTGGCGGCGTTTGCTGATGCTAAGCTCTTCTGTTGAAGTTTCTTCTTCTTCCCGTTTTCTCTTTGCGTGGAAACCTTTATGAACAACGTGAATTAACAAGCACGCTTGGGAATTTTTTCAAATGCTCACAAAGTCACCAACACAACCCAAGCATCTTCGATTTGTATTCATACCAGTAATAAAAAGAAAAAAATGTCCACAGTAATATTGGTAACAGCTTTATATTTGAAATAAATATGAGTTTTATCTATTCCAGAAGAGCTTTGTGGCGCGCAGCAGATTCCGTGCTGTAAATAGCAGCTTGGTCTTCTCCAAAATGACATACAATGAGCTTTGTGCCACAAGCAAGCAGTTACAAAGGAGAGACGTATCCTATATCCTCGACCATTGACTTTGCAATGAGGTGTTACTTTGCTTAATGTTTTCTGTGTCACTTGAAACTTTTCAACATTACATTATAGCCTGTCTGATCTAAATTAAGAATTTACCTTTTAATAAGGGGTCTTTGACTTCTATGTCGTCCTTCTCCTGCTTGGTATGCATCGGATTCGATTTCTGATCGTCCGAATCGGCTGGAATTTCCCGGTGGAATTCCGAGACACTGTCAAATCGCGAGAAATGGTCTCGATCTGACATAGCGCTCTAAACCATTCGCGTACGACAAACCTCTCTGGGCCAATGTTAGTTGCAAGTGTAAGAGAAACTGTCGAAAGATAATTGCTTTGTAAAAACTATTTGCATTGCAATGAGCTTGTCGACCAATCACAGAGCCGTGTTTAATTGTGTCGCTGTCTGGCTTGTCTTTGTACCCATCTAATTGGTCGAGAGCCAGTGCCACAGTAGTAATTTAATTAGATTCAATTGATAGTTAAGAGCCTATTTGGGCCATCGGTCCCGCTGTTTTGTTTGAATAACGTTTTGACAGAAGCTATTAAGCGGCAACCGTCTGAAAGAAATAACACCAAACTCCCTCCCCGGGTGATTCACTAAGGTCCACAATTCCATTAATCAAATTAGCGACAAACAAAGGGCTTTTCGTAGGACGGGTAAACGAATGTATTTACAAGCACTCCAGCCCGTTTCTGCTCTGTCGCTCAGGGCAGAAAACAATACAAACAACTGACAGCAAATGTTTGCTCTCGACGCAATTTATTGGTTGACGCGATTTGGACAAAGTAAATCCACTTCAAAGTAGATAACTACTGGCCGACGCTCAAGATAAATTATAGCAGGTTTAATCTTGGAGATAAGCCTGCAAATTATCTGTGAGGTACAGAAAGACCATTTCATTGAACAAAATTAACAATTTGCATGTTATTATCTTTCCTAAAAATTCAATTAACTTTTCCTCTCTTTTTTGGATGTTTAAAACGCAGGTCGGTCGGACCGTCCTCACAGGTGTTAAATGAAGTCTAAACAAGAGGTACGCGACTTTATATTTACCTCGCAAAGGAATTTTATGATCCAAAGACTTCAAGACTTTGTTAGAAAGAAGACGTGGGAGATAATATTCAATTGGTAAATGAAATTCACTCAAGAAAACCACTTTTAAATATTAATTAAAATCCATCCACCAGTACACGTAATATTTACTTGGCAGAATAAAGTCAAGTGCTTTTATCAACACGCGGCTTTGAAAATTTGCCGAGATTTCAGTGAAAACACCCTTGAAACTCACAAAGGAGATTTCGAAGAAAATTTATCTACGCCCTTAACTTGCGAAATACTACTTCAGGGGTTTGTAATTCAAGGCAATTTATTCGTTGCATTTAATGTCGTCAATTGCCAAAAAGCCTTTGAGCTAATTACATTAAAGGAACAATTTTAATATCTGAATAATTTTATCATTAAGAGAGTCTGCCATGACTAAAAGATCCATCAGGTGATTTTTGTTTTTTCACATTTTTGAATTTTTTTTAACGTAAGCAAAAAATGCAAATACAGATGTCTTTGTAAATGTACGTTACCCCCGTAACTAGGATAGGCCTGAAAAAAATGTCAATTTAAAAAGCGATTTTTAAGAAAATTGTTGAATTAAACAGGTCTCTCGTTAACAAGAATTTTATTCGTTTGTTCGATTTTCTATCATCGCAAGGCTCCAATTATTAAAGAAGAAAAAAAACTTAAGAAACTAAACTGGCTAAACTAAAGTAATTGACTTTAAGTAAGCAGTCATAAATATAGGCCTGTTTTGGTTATAATTAGGATTCTTAATCTTTAATGATTTGGAGCAAATTGCTTTTGAGTGTGGCGAGCCGAATGGACCTGGAGGAAAAATGATAATAATTTATCGAGCAAAGTGGCTTGGTATGAATAGCGAGGTGTTTACAGAAACCTCAGGTTTTTGAGAAAAAAAGTGAGAACGAAGTAGATTATCGACCTTTCTGAAAGTAACTAAGTAAACATTGTTTTCATGTTGATAGCTTCGTAACCATTTCAAAAGATGTCGGCAAATTGCCCACGCAAATTTTGTTAATTCTAAGTTTAGTGATAATGAATTTTCAACTACATAAAGGATGTTTAATCGATTGTATTCAACTCAATTGTGAGGCAGATCGAGAAAATTTCTCTTACGCAGCACGAATTTAAAAGCCTATCCAAAATTTTGGGGCGGAATTTAAGCAAAAAGCTAATTTCCATTTTGTACAAACTTACCACAGATAACAGTTTCTTTCGAATTGTAGATAACCAAATAATTAATCTTAACTTTCTTGAACAACGTGCTCGAAAAATATAACTTACAAAGTAAAATTGCTCATTAAAAACTTTCATTGTCCAATAGTTAATTATATGAATTGTAAAATGTATTTCTAATAGGGTCTTGGGATAACACAGATTCAAAACATTACTGCTTCCCTGAAGAAATCGTGAATTCACCAAAACAGACTGAATCTTCTTCTTTGAAAAAAAGTTTTTACAACAGACGAATCAAAAGAACCTTTCATGTTCCATAGCGTTTAATATTTTAAGCGTGGAAATATTCAGAACTTTTAAATAAGTTTATCTGTTTAATTATTGTTAATAACGCATGATGTTATAATTGATAAATATTGACTCCTTCTTCGACCGTAAAATAACTTTACGTTTGGAATTGAAATTGGTAATTTCAATCACTTAGTATTTGAAATTTAAAATCTTATTTTAAACTTAAACGCACATCGATCAGTTTAACTGTTCATTAAAGAACTTATTGTAACGTTTGTTTGCATTCTCATGTTTCATTAAACCTGTGAATGGCTTTCAATTTTGCAAAACTCCTCGTCCACAAAAGAGTTCTAGAAGGTACCTGCTTATTGCATTTTTCAAGAAGAAAAAAAAACAGTGACCCATGAAAGAAAAACAAAAAACGCAGAGTTACTATAAGCGAAGAGAAGACATTCTTCCTACACGATTATGAGAAACAAATAGTGATGAAAATATATATTTTTAAAAGGAAAAAGTCGTAAAACTCATAAGAGATTTGGATGAAAACGTCACTGGTATTTTACAACTTCACCTGCCTTCGCACTAGTAACACATGCAAATGCTGCCTCTTAACTGAACAAAAACTGCCGTAATGAGATACATCAGCTAAATTCAAGTAATCCTTCTATATTTTACAAGCTCGATGTGAAGCTGTTAAAAAGATTAATGCAGCTATCACGACTAAACAAGCCTAATTATAACTATCAAGAAAACATGTGTTTTTCAAAACCGGGAAATTATGAGTTTAAAAAATCAGCTTTCAAATTCCGACGTAAGAAATTGCTCATTCAAACTTATTTCGTGCTTTTTATTACAAAGCGACAGCGTCAGGAGCAGGTACAAAAATTATAATTTTTTTGATGAAAACAAAAAGTTCTGTTCTACCCTTAAGTCTAAAAAAACCGTAGACAAATAACTTTGTTATCAGAGAACAGAAAAGTTGAATATGGAAACATCGTTTGAAATGAAATGCAAATTCAAAGAAAATTAGCCCTAGGGATATTCAAAGCTCATTGGAAAAGAAAGAGCGCAAAAAAAGAAAAAAAAAACGTTTCCTATTACAGTCAAATTATCTAACTACCCACGCAAGATCCAACCTTAATGGCAGTTATTCACTGTAACTTCAAGCGACCTTTTAATCAATTAGATCGAAATTTCTTTAATACGATAAAGAAGAGTTCTTTCTCTTGAAACTGCTTTGTTTGCCACTTTGCAATTAAAACACAGTCTGCAAGAGAACTCGGCTATTTGGACGGAAAGAGACAAATTTGAAAAAAAAAATTGTTTTATCAATGGCTTCAATCTGAAGATCTTTACTTCACGAATTTAATCCGTGTTTAACAAAGTCAAGTTGTTACGTGAAAAGGTGTTCATAGATAAGGTTGTTGAGACTAAATTTCCTGGAAACTGGTTCATGAGTCGGTTAAACGTTTCACTACGAAGATCATCCCTTCTTGACTTCACTGAACCACGGGCACGCTATGATCTGCAATCAGGTTCGAAAATTCACAATTTTTACAAGTCATCGAGATGAAACGTAATTTATTCAAGCTTGTCGTTAACTCAAATGGCCTTTTAAAAATTTCTAAATGAATGGTTTCTAATTTAGCAATATGTCCATAAATTTCAAATTCTCTCGAAAGGAAAGATCAGCATCGAATGGAACAGAAAGCGAAACGTCTCAAAATCGTTTTCTTAAGTTGCCTTGATGAACGAACGCTCGCAGATTATTCAACTTTCAATGAATTAAAACTTCGCCCGACAGACAGCGAAATTTTCCTCTTGAATGAAAGACTGGTTAAATCATTGTTATGCTAATATTTTGTCCAACAATTACCTGGAGAAGACCACTTTAACATATAACGACAATGAGTTTAAAACAAAGACAAAAGTTTTTACTATTTGCTCGCTATATCTTTAAGCAAGTAAACCAACCACCGTCGTGGCATCTTGATCACCAAACTTTAAAATCCAGACCCTTCAGTCTAAAGTCGTTCGCACTGTTCTCAGAGGCAAATTTCTCTTGGTTTTGAAATTGCAGACTGGTCGTCAAGTACTCATTGAAATTGAATTGTTAGATGAAAAGGGGTTAATTAGTCTGTCTGTGGAGTCTTCTTTGAAAATAAAATTCCATAGGAAAATTTTCAGTCTCTGGAAAAGTTCATAACTTTGACTATCACAGTTTTAATACCGTTTAAAATTATAATTTAGGTGTTGGTCTTGATAGTAAATGAGCTCTATTTTCTTAAAATTCACCCGCAAAAAATGCAGTGTAGACTTAATGAAGCTTAAACCCCTGTCTGAAAATTCCTTTCTTTAATTTCCGTTTTTGTTTCGGTTGAAAAAAATAAACTTAATGTCAGAATATGGTGATAGTGCTAAACAAAAACATGTGGGCCAATTTTATATTTATAAAAATTTTGGACACAATTCAAATGTCTTTCATAGTCTCATGTGATGACCCGTAACCACGCAAGTCTGATTCTACATCACGTTGTGTTTACACCTTGACTAAGAAGGGTTAAAGTTCTTTCAGCGATGGAGTTACAAGCTATGGTAACCTTTCTTCTTAAGCTCATAATTGATTTGAAAATTCGAGTGGAATTTTATATATAATCAACACTTTTTGAAATTGCCCTTTTTGGTACCAACAGGAAAACTGCATCTTCTTTCACTCGATTCTGTTCTTCTTAAAAAGACTTCACGAAATAGCACAGCAGCCATTTTGGATATTACCGCTTCAGTAAACA